CGAACCACTTCGTTCCTGTGATCTCAATCTCTTATCTATGAAGGTAGCCTTTTTAGTGGCAGTGACCTCGGCCAGGCGCATATCTGAATTGGCCGCCCTCTCGGTCAGGGAGGATCTCTGCCTATTTCGGCCCGACTGCGTGATCCTACGATTGGATCCCACCTTCATTCCTAAGGTGAACTCTTTGTTTCACCGGTCACAGGAGGTGGTGTTGTCGAGTTTCTGCCCTAGTCCATCTTGTGACTTGGAACGCAGATGGCACACCTTGGATGTTCACAGGGCACTACACATTTACATTGAAAGGACTGCTTCTTTCCGTAGGTCAGAGGCACTTTTCCTCTCTTTCAATCCTGCCTCTATGGGGCTCAAGGTTTCTTCTTCCACTATTGCCAGGTGGATTAAGGCTTGTATTGCCAGGACATACCAATCGCAGTCTTTAGCCATTCCTTCACATATCACGGCTCACTCTACTCGTAGTGCTGCCACCTCTGCGGCCTGGGCCACTCGGGCACCCATGGGCGACATCTGTAGGGCAGCGACCTGGTCGTCGGCTTCCCCATTTATCCGTCACTATAAAATTGATAGCTTTGCCTCTGCTGGCGCTGCCTTTGGCCGTAGAGTATTACAGAGGGTAGTGTCATCTCCTGCATCACATGGCCCGTCTGTTGCCCCCCCCCAGGGACAGGCAGGCTTTGGTATGTCCCAATCTGTGGATTATCCATCCTCATGCTGGAGAAGGGGCGTTGTCTTACCTGAACGCCTTTTCTCAGCATGATGATGGATAATCCACTCCCGCCCTTTACTGATTACTGGGCACTGTGGCAGGAGTCTGGAAACCAACGCGTGTGGCTTTGTCTGATGCTTCGCCTTCGTCGGAACTGGGTAAACGTGACCCAGCAAGAGGCGTGGCTATCTCTCAGTCTTAGTCTAATTGGGTAGAAGGGACTTCAGGAAACCCAATCTGTGGATTATCCATCATCATGCTGAGAAAAGGCGTTCAGGTAAGACAACGCCCCTTTTCAAAGGCATCTCGCATATGCACATAGAAAATAGAATCATAGGGCTGGAGGGGGCCTTCTAGTCCAACCTGCTCAAGGCAAGAGATCTTATACCATCCCAGTCAAATGATTGTCCAATCGATTCTTGAAAACCTTCACTGATAGTGCACCCATAATTCTGGGAGACAGGGTATTCCATTGATTAATTGTTCTGTCAGGAAATTTGTCCTTGGTTCTAGTTTGGATTGCTTTAACAAGTTTCACCCATTACAGTGGCACTTTGGTACTCATCATTAATTGGCTCTGGGAGGCGCGATGTGTAGCAAAAATAAGTAGCAAACAAATTTTTCCTATAAGGAATAATGTATTGAGTCATAAGGCAGCCGATGTCAATGCTGCTAACATCGGATGTTCTTGCTTGACAATATATAAAGATGCAGACATTTTCTATTTAACCTGTGTATTACTTTTAGAGTTAAAAGAGATGGTGCTGGAGGGGAGGGGGAAGAATGTGCTGGGGACTAGTTAGCCATAACAATATCTCAGTAGAGTATTCTTCAAGGTTAGTTGTAATAAGAGGAGATAACAGGAGGGAAAGTTCACACTTCAAACTAATTGGAGAATGTAATTAATGACTGTTAAATGAAGGAGTGAGTTATGCTTGATACTGTGTGTTTGGGGGAGGAGAAATTCAGATTTTGGTTACTCTATGTACGTGCTGAAGCTATGTTGCAAATTAAAGATTCTTTAAGGTAAACAATGCCTCAAAGTTCTTTGAAGAGCTTCTTCTTTTGGAACCATGACAGCTGACACCAACAACTTCTAGCTTGTGTGTTGAGTACCAAACAAATGATGAGTATGGAACAAAATTTTCACATCAAAATGCGTTAGTACCAAATTCAATGAGTTTCAAAGCAGTTGAGTATCAAGGTACCACTGTACTTCTTGTCCTGCCACTGCTGCTTTGGAGAATAAATCGATCCTCTCTCCTCTGTGACAGCCCCTCAAATACTGGAAGACAGCTATCAAATCACCCTAATTCTTCTCTTTGATAGACTAACATATGTAACTCTATCAACCATACATCATACAATTTAGTCTTCAGATCCCTTATCACAGGGGTGTCAAACTCGATTTCATTGAGGGCCGCATCAGCATTGTGGTTACCCTCGGGGGTGTGTGTGACTGGGGTAGCATGTCTGGGTGGGTGTGGTCGGCTAAGGTTTTATAAAGTGGTACTAATACTTTGTGTGATCTTGATTCTATGCCTCTGTTTATACAACCCAGGATTGTATTAGCTTTTTTGGCTACTGCTGCACACTGCTGGCTCATTGTCAAGTGATTGTCTAGTAGGACTCCAAGGTCCCTCTCACAGTTACTGTTTTTGAGCCAGGTCTCGCCTAAACTATACTTATATCTTTGATTTTTCCTACCTAAATATAAAACTTTGCTTTTCTCCACATTATAACTCATTTTGTTGGATAGGGCCCATTGTTCAATTTTGTCAAGATCTTTTTGGATCCTGAGCTTGTCTTCTGGGGTGTTGGTTATTCCTGCCAGTTTAGTGTCATCTGCAAATTTGATGAGTTCCCCTTCTATTCCCTCATCTAAGTCATTAATGAAGATATTGAAGAATACTGGGCCTAACACGGAGCCTTGTGGTACCCCACTGCTTACTTCTCTCCATGTGGATGTAGTACTATTGAGGACTACTTGTTGAGTACGGTTTGTTAGCCAGCTACAAATCCATCTGGTGGTGATGTTGTCTATTCTACCTTTTTCTAGTTTACCAAGCAGTAGATTGTGGTCTACTTTGTCGAATGCCTTACTGAAATCTAAGTATACTATGTCCACAGTGTTTCGCTGGTCGACTAATTTGGTCACTTTATCAAAGAATGAAATAAGATTGGTTTGGCATGATCTGTTTTTAACAAATTTTCCCACAACGTTCCGGCAACATCAACTCCCTCTATCTTCTCTATTAGTATGAATTAAGTCCAGTATAGCTTTACTTTTAGTTTCCTCCTCTACCTTTTGGATGACAAAGTTGTCGGTTAGGTTGGTTAGGAATCTGTTTGATCTCCCACTCGCTGCAGAGTTTGTCTCCCAGTTGATATCTGGATAGTTGAAGTCTCCCATTACTACTGTGGTATGCTTCCTACATGCATTTGTTAACTGGTTGGCAGAGTCCATCTATTTCTTCTGATTGCTTGGGTGGCCTGTAATACACACCTATGGCAATGTCACTTTTTTCCCCTTTTATATTGACCCATATAGATTCTGGAGGGCTTTTATCTTTGATCATGTGCATTTCTGTAGATATTTAGTAGTCGCTTACATTTAGTGCAACGCCCCCTCCTCTTTTTGTAGTTCTGTTTCTTTTGAACAATTTGTATCCACCCATCAGTCCATTCTAGTCCTGGGTTTCGTCCCAGCAGGTTTCTGTAATGTTATACCTATCCTCATGTACTATTGCTTCTAGTTCGCCCTGTTTGTTCCCCAAGTTTTGAGCATTAGTATATAAGCATTTAAGACTTTTATGCCTGTCTGTGAATATGACTCCCAGCTTGTCTTCAGAAGTTGTGGGTGCTTCATCACTGGAGGTTTTTAAAAAAGACTGAAAAGCCATTTGTCTGAAATGATATAGGGTCTCCAAGGTCCCTTCAAGTCCTATTCTATTCTATATACAAGATATTTCTTGAAGAGATAACAGGAAAGGACAAACAGATTTAGTGTGTGGGAGTTCCAGTATTTGGAGCTATTTAATTTAGAAAAAAAGCAAGCAAGAGAAGTCATGATAAAGGTTTATAGAATTATGAATGTTGTGAAAAGAGTACACAGAAATAAGCATTTTTTTCTTTCTCACAATAAATGAACTTGGAGTATCCATTTACCTTTAATAATGGAAAGTGTGGGATAGATAAAATACTTCACATAAGGATCAGAATTCATTACCAGAAGATGTGGCTATGTATCAGTGAATAGTCCATGAGTACATGCTATCTCCAGGATCAGAGACACCAGACCTCTAAATATAAGGCATATTTAATTAGCTACAAAGAAAAAAGACATTTGACAAGTCTTTTGATTATCTGAGAAAGATTTCCATTCTTAAATAAATTGCAAAGTTAAAATACCAAATAAATACAATAATTACTAATTTCTGTTCCTATAATCAGCGTGTTCTTATTTGGACAAGATGCTAGAAACCTAGTCTATTTGGAATGCACAGTGTACTTCATGGTGTACTGTGAGGATGGGCAAATTTTGAGAAAGAGATTATAACTGTCTCCTGACCAGATTCCAAGCTGTAGGAAGTTTTCCAATGTCTGGGTGACATTAATGAAAATTTTGTTGGGTTTGAGAGATTTGTATAGAACAAGGATCTCCAGAGGTCTCCTCTCCCTATCCGTATTTTGCCATGCTGACTGAAAACTGTTCCATTAAATTTCAGTAGACTTAAGCAGTGCTAGGGAAATGTCTCATGATACCTTTATCTGGTCTACTCCTGATATATGATTATAGCACCCTAACACATTTAATTGCACATGTATAGGCTTTTCTGAAATTTTGCCAGTGCTCCAATTACCTGCTATTTTCATGTTTCAAGATCTAGCCTCATTGAAAAAGAATTATTCACCTTGCTGGTTGATCAAGCAGATCATAGTTTTCAAATTTGACAAAATGTATTATATTTGTATTCTGCTTCACTTGTAAAAATGCATGCAGTGGTAAATCACATGTCATATATCCTATTGCTCAGGTTTTTTTAGAATTTTCTTTTGAAACGCAATATGTACAAAGGCTGTTCAGGATTTGTTCTTTTTATTTGTAATTTTATTATATATGTTTTTATTCAAATTGTACTTTTTTAGTGTGCTTTATTGTAAACTGTCCAGAGAGCTTCAGTTATTAAATGGTTTAAATATTTTAATAGATCCATAAAAATAGAAAATGTCTTGCTACTGCTTAGCATGTTCTGTGCTATGTATTGGATTCCAGGAAAGAAGAGAAGAAATTGCCACCATAGAAACAATCAACAATGGGAAATCCATCTTTGAAGCTCTCATAGACATTGATATATCTTGGCAATGCCTGCAGTATTATGCTGGTTTAGCTGGCTCCTTAGCAGGTAGCTGTTACATGTTCTGCTTGTTAATTCTGTCTCTTTCTTCATTAATTACTCTTTGGTCTAATGTCTCCTTAAATAAAACTAATACAATTTTATAAGTACTTAATATTTAAGAATTAATATCAGGTACTTCCAAGGGAAAAGTCTTAGAGCAAAGATTACTTTATTTGAGCTCTAGTTGATGTAGAATAGCAGAATTGGTCTTGAATGTTTTAGTACTTACTTCCAGATTAACAGGGTATGGGAGACTAGCAAGGTAAATTTTAGATTATTCATCTTAATTTGCATAGGATAATTTGAAATTGCTCAAAATGAATCTTGTGTTACACTTTCCAAAATTTGTCAAAGTTGCATAGTATTATGTCCTTATCATTAGCAGGCAATGCTGCAAGTGCCATGGATATGATTAAAATTTATGAATTAATTTCTTTTTTTATTATATGAAAACCACAATCCTATCTGTTGACTTCTGCAATATGGAAAAAATATGGTCTTAAATGTAGGAGGGTTATATGGTAAAAAGCATGAATTAATAAATGAAATGAAGAAATGTATTGTTTGTGAACTAATATAAAGAGATGATTATGATTAACAGAAGACTATGATTAATAGAGTTGAAAATGTGATTTTATGCAGTGAAGTTGATGCATACAGGCATAAAGTGAAGATGTAGTTTATGAATGGAAAGACTAAAAGGGCTAACATATATAATACAGGTACGAGATTGTATCATCTAGGTAATTGTCAATACATATGAAAGAACAGTAGGAGTAATTGCTTAGTGAATGATAGATAAAAAATTTTTCAAGAGCTTTTAGAAAAACTGTGCAATATTGGGAAGGTGTTTGGTAGAATTCTGATGGAAGGTATATGTGATGACAGTGAATAAAATTTGGAAATTACTATCCTTGTCTGTGCTGGGCAGAATCCAGATTTGCTGTTCCATAGTCATTGAGGAAGGTAATATGTAGAATAGAACAGAACAGAATAGAGCTGGAAGGGACCTTGGAGGTCTTCTAGTCCAGTCCCGTCCCCGGCTCAAGCAGGAGAACCTGCAAGAAATGACTGTTTTGTTGAAAGAAGTAAAAGTAACTCTGCTTCTGCCCACTTTGATTATTTGATTTGATGATTTGCTGGAACTCCATGCAGGTTAGTGAATTAGAAAGAAGGGCTGATTGCACTATCTACATTTTTCTGGAGCATCCAGTTTTTGTGTTAGGGAAAAGTCTGTTCTTCAACAATTAGAATAGAAGATCAGTAGGCTATGTTCCATCCTTCCTCTACTACTTTTCTGGACATAAAACCTTTTTAATTACTCTGCTTCTCATTTTTGAGAATTGGTTTATATTTCTTATGTCCAGATCTCTTTGTCTTTTCTACTTAGGTCAACATGTCCAGCTCCCTGAGGGATCCTTTGCTTATACCAGAAGAGAACCTCTTGGAGTCTGTATTGGGATAGGGGCTTGGAACTACCCTTTTCAGATTGCCTGCTGGAAATCAGCCCCTGCTTTGGCCTGTGGTAAAATAAATTAACTTTTCGATAAATGAATGAATTTCATTCACAGAAACTAGTAGTTGAGGATTGCTTTTCTAGGTGTTCATTATTACCATTTGAGATGTGGAAATTGGGAAGAAAGATCCAGTGGAGTTATTAGAACTTAATAATAACAAATAGTAGTAGTAGAAGAGACCACTTTGACACTGGCATTGATTTAGCTTCAAAATTTAAGTGGGGTGGGTGTAATAATCTGGATGTCTGCATTAATTTGTCTTAGTTGGACTGAAACATTTTTTTCTTCAATATTACTCTTTCATTTGATTGTAATTGAAGCTATTTCTAGACAGAAAATAAGTATCCATTCTTTTTATTCTTGTGAATTGGGCTACCTAGGTAATGCCATGGTCTTCAAACCTTCTCCCTTCACCCCCATCTCTGTTGTGCTGCTGGCAGAGATCTACAATAAGGCTGGTGTTCCTAAGGGACTTTTCAATGTGGTGCAAGGTGGAGCTGCCACAGGCCAGTTCCTGTGCCAGCACCCAGATGTGGCCAAAGTCTCATTCACTGGGAGTGTGCCCACAGGTGTTAAGGTATGTATATGTGTGTGTGTGTGTGTGTGTTAAGTACTGTCACTATTGAATGATAAAGTTTAAAAAGGTTTGATATCTGAAGCAGTCTTAATGCAATTTGTCCCTTCTCCAATGACTTTGACAATTTATTCATACACATGCAACTATGCTAAGATCAGTTAGAAGAGTTGTTTTGCTACTAACCAGAACTGCCAGTTTGAGAGGCTGATAGATCTGTTTGTTGTCCAGTTTACATATTTGCCAGTTGCCAAATCTACAGATATTCCATTGTAATCTCAAGGTCTGCAGGTTTTTTAAAGATGTGCATTTGAATATGATGCACAAAGACCAGGCCTATATGGGTGTCTTCGTTGCTCTTATATTCAATGCTTGGATGGCTCTTCTTTGGAAATGTGGAGATCACTTCTTAATCCAGATTCTACTTCTAAATTGCATGTTGGTGAAAAATTATCCAGTAATCCTTAATGTATTTATAAGTTATTTTTTTATGTGCTGAAGTAACTGACAACATTTCATAGTGAAAATAACAGTAAAATACATAATTAATAACAATTTAAATAAAACATATTCATTAAGGTTAGAAGAAGAAAAAACTTTCTTAATATTCGTATCAAAAATGATGAATAAAGGCCCATTGCTATTTTAATAGTATAACTTTGGGTGTTAGATGTTTATATCAAAAATAGCACATTTATGTGAGATATTTGCTTGGAAATGTTTACCTATGTCCTGACCAATTCACTGAAAGAGAGCAATAATTTTGTATGTGAGATGGATTCTTATTCAGCAAATTCTAGCTGAGGCTCTTTGCATTTACCAAGAAAATAGAATTATAATTGCCTGTGTTAGCTGCTACATCTTGTTCTGTTTTTTCCCCCCAATAGATTATGGAAATGGCAGCCAAAGGGATCAAACCTGTTACTTTAGAATTAGGAGGAAAGTCCCCCCTCATTATCTTCTCTGACTGTGTTTTGGATAATGCTGTGAAAGGAGCCCTCATGGCTAATTTCCTTACCCAGGGTGAGGTATGCAATGTTTTTATCTAACAGAGAAGAGGCTGTGGATCTGACTAAATCATTTAAAAAGCCTACTTAAATTCCATAGCTGGAGAAGAAATTTGCTGTATCTCGTAAAATATTGTAATACAGAAATGGTTATCAGAATCTCTAAGAAAAAAATTGTGCTTTATCATTTGTACTGTGTTGTAAGATCCAATTTTTTCAATGTTCATTGCTTTTCAGGACTGATATTATCTTGTAATGTTCGTTGTTCAAGAAGAAGCTCTGTTCCTCTGTTCACTCCTCATAGACCTTATGTGTAATTATTAGATTTGATTTGACTTACTGATATTTGTTACTGATTGCTATTCCAAAGAGAGATTAAATCAGTGCAGAAATGTCAGTACAACTTATTTAATGACTCTTTGCAAGCATGACAGACTTTGAATGGGTGCTTTACTGCTCATAAAGCACTTCTGACCATTTTAAAATGTTGCATCACAACCATTGCCATCAACTGACCATATTTCAAGTGCGTGGCAATTTGTTCACATTTATGACCAGTTGCCAAGTGTCCTATGATCCTATGATCACCATTTGAAATCTTCTCTGGCAGCTTCCCCAGAAAATCATAAGAGAAGCAGTCGGGGAAGATTGCAAGTGCAGGGAATGTTGAATTTGAGGTCTGTTCCTCCAGCATGCTAAAGGATTTCTCCTCCTCTCTATGCAGTGAGAGGTGAAAACACTAGTGAACATCAGCATTCTGTACCTTTCAGAACAATGGTATTTGCTAGCATTTTCGGCAGATTTGAGATCTATTCTAGCATGCTGAAGGATTTCCCCTCCAGGGGTGAAATCTCTCAGCCCACTGGAGAAACAGACCTCAAATCTAGTGAAAACGCTAGCAAATGTGTATGGTGGAAGACCTGTGCCCGCTCCCTACTCTGCTACACCCGAGAGGCCCAGGCCTTCTCCCTGGCACTCCACTTAACAACCTGTGTGGGTCACTTAACACCTGCAACATGGAGAGCCAGACTTGAGGTCCTTGAGCAAAGTGATTACATGGTTTCTGACTTAACAACTACTTTACTCACTGACTGAGATTCTGGGCCCAAGGGTAGTCATAAGTGGAGATCTACCTTTGAGTTGATAGTTACAGGTTAGTTCTGAGCCTGTCAATTCTGAAAATGGGCCCTTTTTTAAACCTGTTCCTGTGCCTCAGGTATGCTGCAATGGTACTCGTGTGTTTGTACAACGAGCAATCCTGGAGGCCTTCACCAAAGAAGTTGTGAAACAGACTCAGAACATCAAAATTGGTGACCCCCTGCTGCAAACTACAAGGATGGGAGCACTTATCAACAAGGCACACCTGGAGAAGGTCTTGAGTTTTGTTAAACAAGCAAAGGAGCAGGTGAGCATTAACTTTACTGAGGTTTATCCTGAGGAATTGGGCTACTGAAAATACTTCACTCTTCTGCCACATGAGGTGCTAGAACATTATATTATGTATTATGTGCAAAACTGAGTATTGAAGGTAGAATAAAAGTGCTTTTCTGTGTCTGTACAGTTTATGGCTATCCAGTGAAAAGCTATCTGATCTAGGCACATGTGTTTAACAAACTATAATTGGGTTACTAAAAACAATGAGCACAAACCACATCTGGAATAAAATTTGTCATGCTTAATGGTAGATTTTATATTAGTGTCTATCTGTTATTGTGGGAGAACTCAGATTTAAGCTGTGTTTAGCATAGAGAATTTTTTTTTAAATATTTTTTATTTTTTTAATACAGTACATATTCAGCAGACTATGTCATTTTTATATACTATGGATCTACATTCTATACAATATATACACTATGTACATTCAATCTAACCCACAATAACCTAATTTACACAATAACCTTATGTATATTTCCAATTTTTATTTCTATTTTCTATCCAATTATACCAATTTTCCCAAACCGCAAAAAATTCCGAATCATCTTTTTCTTTTAATTCTAAGGTGAGTTTGTCCATCTCGGCACATTCATAAATTTTCTGAATAATCAACCCCTCTGGTGGTATATTGCGTTCCTTCCAATATTGCGCGAATGCAATTCTTGCCGCAGTTAGTATATGTAAGATCAGATATCTTATTTTCTTATAAAATTTCTTTTTAAGTATTCACAGGAGAAATGTTTCCGGATTTAATTCGATTTGACATTTTGTTAAATCTTGTAGCCACCCTTGTATTTTAATCCAATATTTTTTCGCTTCAGGGCATAGCCACCAAGCATGAAAGAAGGTACCTTGACGATAATTACATTTCCAACAATTTGGGCTTTGGTTTGGATACATTTTGGCTAATCTTGCAGGGGCTTAGGTGCCAACGATATAGCATTTTATATTGATTTTCCTTATATGCAGCGGATTTTGTTATTTTGTGATTTTTATTCCAAATTCTTTCCCAATCTTCTAATTCTATATTGTGCCCTATGTTTTTTGCCCATGCAATCATTGGTTCTTTCACTATCTCCTCTACTCTATCAAAGTCTAATAAATAGTTATATATTTTAGAT